ATTGCAGAGGAAAATTCTGGAGTCCCCTTCCTAGAAAACTGTTAATGTAAGATAAACATTTGTTCATTCAAGTTCTGCTTGGGAAAGGAATTTCTTTCAGTCTTCTGATTTTATAACCCTTTGAGAACCCAACCAGGCTCAGCAACACATCTGCCTTCTCACCTCAATTTAAATTGAGCCAAATTTCCAATTTATTTGATATTCTTTGCCATGACCTCTTATTATTAATTCAAAATACTGGGGTGTTTAAAGAAGTCAGTTCTTATGGTCAGAGTATAATGATTATGATCAGAACTTAATCTCCATGTGCTATTTAACAGTGATTTATTATTAGAGGCTCAACAGGCCAATTTAATAGGGCACAGCTCTCTGGTCATCAGGAGAAAGGCACCAATTACCCTACAGTTTTCATCATGAAGGTTGAGGCGTCTTTCTACAGTATTTATGTACCTCCTGGAGTGACCGCAGTTGTGCCCAAATGCCATGGGGAAGTGTGAGATTGCTGCAGAGGCTAAACTCAAGTTGTGTGGCCCCAAGGGTGTTGTCAGGGAGTTGGGAAGTGATACAGCTGGTTTTTGAGCACCCTGGCCTTTGTCCCATTCCTCCTCAGAATTCATTCTAAACAGCCTTACCCTCTTGGGCCGACCCTCTCCGGATAGGGAATTTCTCCTGCTGTGAGCAGAGTGAAGCATGCGTCCTCCCCACTCCTATTCCCTCTCACCAATGCCACATATTGTATAGGACCAGTGTTTTGTGGGTCACCAATAGAACCCAGACCTGAAAACGTGGACTTGAGAGTACGGTTAAGACAGTGATTTCTGTGTGTCCCTAGAGGAAAGAGTCTTTGAGAGCAACATCTTGAACTGTGCTTATTTGCAATAAAGACATTTATGCCTGAAACAATAAGACAGACATTTCATATTCACCAAATGATTATCCATTTGGCAGGCATCTAGTGAACAGCCTTAGAATTTTTAAAGAAACTGCTGCAGCACACACGTACGGTACCAAGAATGCATGTTCACGGGGATGCGCTTTGCTGTGTGCATGTTGAAAGCAACGCATCGAATGTCCAAATCCCTATCACGTCAGAATGGGGAACATGTGGTCCTCTGTTCAGGGCAGTGCTTGGTGTAGGTAGGGTACCAAGCTGTCTGGGGAAAGGTGTTCCCTGGTGGCATGTAAGCCACGGAATGCACGGTGAAGAGTAGCTGCAGTGCGGCAGCAAGGGGCAGCTCTCTGCAGGGCAGATCTTTTCTCACTGCAGTGGGGCAAAGAGCTGCAAATATATTTATAGTGAGACTTTTAAGTGAACACTTTTCAGTTCTCTGAATTGTGATAAGATTTCCTTTTCTTAAATAAAGTAGTGTCTAAATAGATGCCTCTGAAAAATTCTTTTCTTCTCCAGGAATTGCCCCTATTGATGTCTTTTATACATGTCCAGGTTGTGTCATGCACACACCTGCTGTGCTGGTAATGAATAGTCTCCGGGCTAGCACGGAGTGTCAGGACTAGTGCTGCACTGCACACATTAAATCAGTCACATGTGGGCCAGGGAGTTCTTGGAGCCTTCCTGAAATTAAGATCTATGTTACCTTTTAAGGGACGGCCTTTTTTTCATGGAGGCATTCTGTGCAGGGGCTGGAAGCATGGATGACAAGTTCAGGCTGCCCAGCTTCAAGTTGCAGTTCTGCATCCCCCTGGCTCTGAGACTTGGAGCCAGTCCCTTATCTGTGTAGTCAGCACACACCTCTGTGAAATGGAGATGGTGCCAGCACCTGCCACGCTCCCTGGCTCTCAGCAGGGCCCACGTGTGTGAATGCCACTCTTATGCTGTTAAAATCTCCAAGAGAACTAACAAGGGGAAATGACTGAAAAGTGAGGATAGAACAACTGGGACCTGCTTAAGCACTATTTGTGGAATACCTGCTTTGGGTCCCGCACATTCATGACTCTGTGGGGTGACCCTCCCCCTCTTTGGGGTTGAAGTTCCCTTAGATTTATTACAAAATCTATTTGAAATGGCCAAAACCATAGCTCCAGTCTATTTTCCTCTGAAGCTAAAGCAAAATACAATGGGAAAAAACCTTATTTTTTCATTGCCCCAAAGGTGCAAGTTTAGAAAACAAGGTCAGAGGGTCTCATTTAGTTGTTTTCTTCAGTGGAAGATGGAATGGTAAAACTTAATGAGTTATGTTTTGTAGTTGTAAAGTGAAAACAAAGTAACCTTATTAAACATTGCCCCTATTTTAAATATTCACACGTAATTTTGTAAAGCTCTGGTGAAACCATTTTAATAATTCATTATATCCAGATTTGGTGAGGGATCTATTTTATGCCATAGGAAAACTCTTGTGAAATGTGCCTAGAGTTCTTATCATCGGATACGGAAATTAGACTTTTAAAATTAAAAGAAAATGAAAGACAGTTTGATCTGAAGAGTTCATAATCCCCAGTGTCCCCTGTTTCTATAATTGTATACATCTCTTCGATCTTTAACTTTTCAGGTGGTTAACTGACTCTCGAGAAGAAGGAATTGATGATCCCTGGTATACAGTAGGCACTCAAGAAGAATGGTCTAAATGGACAAGGGAAGGGCTGAATCTGAACAAAGTTTGTCCTAGACCTGACAGGTCTTACTTGAGTCACTCCCATCACCTGGGCAGCATCTGAAGTCTTTTTTTAAAAATTGAAACATAATTGATACAGAATTGATTTCTGTGGGGTACAGAGTTGCCTATCAATACCTGCTTGCAATATGTGTTGCTCAACTCAGGATAATTTGTATATTCAATATTATGCCATGTTACTGTTTTTCATGGCCTCCGTCGTTTTATCGATTCCTAAAGAACCAAATCCCTCTACCTTCTCTTCCCTAGTAACTTCTCTCCTTGAGACAAATATACCAAAGCATACACACTCCACTCAACTAATGGAATTTTCCAAAGGAATGGGAAACTAAGTTTCAAGTGAAGACATTCTGTGTTTTGATATTAGGATGTGTCTTTTACAGATAAATCTTTGAAGCCAGGAAAAATAGCATCAAGAGGAAATAATGCATGTGTAGGCAGTGTTGGAAATATTCAGGATCCACTCCATGGGAACTTAGGCCATTATTATTTTAAAATTCCCTTTGTGTTGGCACAGCTGCCAGGACACCATCAGGCAGGCTGTGTAATTCCAGTTCCATAGGGCCTGATACTGTGTGACTCTGCCTGTGACCTCCATCCACAGATGGTAACGGCTCCTTCCCCATTGTCAACACATTTGCAGGTGATGCTGAGAACAAACCTATATTTTCGGAGTTCCCAGACTGTGAATGGGCTCTTTCCAGGGCCCTGGGCCCTGGGTCGGCCCTTCCTGTCCACACCCTGGCCCCAGCCTTTGGGTGTGGAATGACCTTCTCGATCCCTCTTCAGCTCTGTCCCACCCAAACTGTGCCCTCCTGCCTCAGATGGTTTTGACCTTCTCAGACTTGAAGTTCAAGGCTGCACCAGGCCTGTAGTTCTCTGCAGAGCTCCAATGAGCAAGGTGTGGAGGAGAAAAACAGGGCTCACAGGAGGGGAAGCCATGGCCTTGAACAGTGGGGTAGGTATCTAAAATCCAGAGAGTGCAGACTTGCAGATGCCCAAGAATACAAAGAACAAACAAACAAAAAATGGTTTGGACAGAGCTTAAGAGGCATTTCCAGACATCTCCCTTAGATGATGTAATCTCAGTATCAAAGCCCTCAGCAGCAATGACCCCGTGTTAACCATCTAAGAAGGCGTTGGCATATTTTTTCTGGTTTCTAGTTAAGTGGGATTGTTTATTTGGTATTTCCCTATTAGATATGATTTTGCCATATCCTATCACTTTCAAATCTCACTTTTTTAAAATAAATTTTTCCTTTCATCTTTTTCTAGAAAAGCAGGTCTATCTTTATCCAAATGACAGCAGCTGCCTTACTAACAGCAGCTCTGTGACATGCTGTCTGAGGTCTGTCGCTGGTTCCTCTCGGCATCTCACAACTAGTTTGCCATCCCTTTACTTGGGGTCCTTGGGGGCTGCTGGGGTCCCCTCTCATGCCACTTCCCCAAGCGTCAACCCCGCCCTTCTCTGCCCCATCCACTGTGCCTAAGCTTGGAACGCTGCGAGCCTTCAAAGCTCCATATCTAAAGATTGGCTTCAGGGATTTGAAATTCAACACAAGAATTTCATTATGAGGTTTTGGAGAGAAACATCGCTCTAGGATAAAACTCGCTGAGCAGCGAGTGTCCCTGGTGCCACCTCCCAGCATCTGTCTACGTGGCCTGTTTACTGTCACATATGAGAACAAGCAGCAGTTCACTGTTACTGCAAGTGCTCTCAGGAAGTTGTCACAGATGGAGTTTTGACATGACAGCTTCAGAAGGAGCTGGCTTAAGAAAGAGAAGCCAGGTGGCAGCTTGGCTTCCCACGTGCCTGCTGTGTGCTTCTGCCAAGCATGGGTGCAGGTTGCAAACAAAATACCCTGGCCTGGGTGGCTGAGACGAACAGGAACTTACTTCTCACAGTTCTGAAGACTGGATGTCTCAGATCGAGGTCAGGGTCTGCTGAGGGCTGTCTTCTTGATTGCAGATGGCCTGGCTGCCTTCTTGCTGTGTTCTAACATGGCAGAGAGAGAGGAAGAGAGAGAGAGAATGCACCCTCTGGTTTATTCCTCTTCTTATAAGGGCACTAGTCCCATCATGGGGGCTCCACCCTCATGACCTAATGTAATACTAATCACCTCCCAAAGGCCCCACCTCCCAATACCATCACATTGGGGGTTAGAGCTTCAACATGTGAATTTCAGGGGGACACAAACTCTCAGCTCCTACCAGGCCCTGCATTTGCCTTTTCACATGTCTCTCCTCCTTTCTCCCTCAGCTTCTGCCTCCTCGCCCTTCCTGGGCTCTCGCTGTGGATCATGAGAAGACCACGGAGGCATGCTCTTTCATTGCCCTAATAATAGCAGACTTTATCTTCTTCTCCTGCAGGAACTCCCCTGATGAATGCAGCGTGGCGAAAGGCGGGAAGATGGTGGGCAGCCCAGACACTGTCGGGATGAACTACGGCAGCTACATGGAGGAGAAGCACATGCCACCCCCAAACATGACCACGAACGAGCGCAGGGTCATCGTTCCAGCAGGTCAGAGGTTCACAGGCTTCCCCCTGTTCAGTCAGCAAACTACGCCTCCCCAAAAGGGTGGGCTGAGCATCGCCGAGCGTTCTTCCTTCTCCCTGTGGCAGTGGGTGACCTCAGTTGTCTAGAGCAGTGATTGTCAATGGGAACCCGCAGAAGGCTGTCTATGGATGGTGAAATGTTTGCTGATCTGCGGCAAAGTGGGAAAAATAAGGGTAAAGACACATGCACACTTACAAACACCTATGCACATGTGTGTGAGAGTATGTCTGTGTATTAAATTTTAGAACATGTGACAGAGCTATATATGACTCCCGACTCTGTATTTTGCCAGACAAGAAAACACACACACACACACACACACACACACACAAAGAGAGAGAGGGAGAGAGCAGGCAAAAACACACACGCTAATGCACACACACACTAATGCACACACACACATGCACACACGTGTGTATATGTCCATGAAAGGTGACCTTTCTAGGAAGAAATTGCCCTTTCTGTAAGATTATTTGATGTTAAATATCCTGTCTTTTATGGAGTGCTATTTATAATACATGGTAGGCTTGTTTGTTTTTTAAATGTTTTTATCTGGCAAAATAAAAAGTTGGGAGCCATATATTGCTCTCTCCCATGTTCTTAAAAATCTAAATTCCAGCTATCACTGGCCTGTAATATAGATTCTAATAACCAGAGTAATTCTTCCCTGCAGAAGTAATTCAAACCCAACCCAAGGGATAGCTCCCTTGAATTTGAGGGAAATGCCAAGAGCTCATTTATTTAACAAAACTAATAGAAGGAATGACTTAAAGCTCCTCAGAGATGATATGTGCTACATAGCCGTACAGCAGAAAAATGATAATATAACAACAGCATCAACAACGGTCCCAACTTGGTGAGCCTTTACTCTACACTCAGTAAACACTTTAAAGACATTATCTTATGCAATCTGGGGAAATAGGTAAGCTTATCCTAACTTCCCCAATGAGGAAAACAAAGCTCAGAGAGGCCCACTAACTTCTCCAAGGGCACACAGCCAGTAAGAGGCCAAGGTAAAATTCAGACAGCTCGGACTCCTCTCCTCTCTTCCTGTTGGCACTAGATGAAATCTCAGCTCCTTACAGTGGTCTCTGTGGCTTCCCTCTTGCCACCCATTCCAACCATGAGGTCAACCTGCGGTTCTGCCTCAGGGACTTGAACTTGCAGTCACCTCAGCCTGAAAACCTTGACTCCAGGTAGACCCACTTCTCCATCCTTCATCGAGGCTTGGAGCGAACATTGCCTCCCCAGAGAGGCCTTTCCCGAACCCCCTTCCCAGAGCTGCTGCCCATGTACCCTGTGACGCTCCATCCCATGTCTGCCGGATGTTTCCTTGTTTCCTTTATTCCCATCTGTCATTATATTGTATATTTATGTAAAAGTTTCCTTATTGTCTTCCTCAATAGAATGGAAACCCAACAGGGCCCTATCTGCAGAGCTGAGTGTGGTGCCCGGTGTAGAGGAGGTGCCCAATGCATGTTAACAGCCAGGCAGCTAGCCCTGGGCTGCACTGCATGAGATATTCCTCACTGTCAAAGTAGGAGATTGTGTGCATGGTGAAGCTTGCACAGACTCGGTTTTCCCTTGCTCTGGGGTCACCTAAATTCCTCTCTGCAAAATGTCGACGTGTAAAGGCAGACAGGTTCAGATCCTGTGATACAAAAACGATACAATTTCCCCCCTGACCCTGCATAGGGTCGTGGCCAGTGGGCTTGTCACTTTCCAGATGGGAACATTCCGAGTGCAGAGTACTTGGCAAAACATCCGATGTGGATTTTTAAATAGGGTTTCTCCCCGTGTCTGACCCTGTGTGGTTTCAGCAAACTGCATGAACCAGATTCGATGCCGTTAGGTGTGAAAGGGGTCCTCTTTTGGGGTCATGCCTGACTTGGAAGCACACAGTAAGACTTTTATAGAAGACCGCAATGGTAAAGTTCCATGTGTGCCCATGTATAGGGGGACAACACTGTTCTTAATATTTGTTGAAAGGCAGTTGACACATATACAGAGGCCATACATTTGACCATGGAAATTGACCTGTAAACCTGAGATGACCTCATTTGAGGACGTGTCTTAGAGTATGGGGAAGTTCCCACTGGGCAGAAAAAACTGGAAATGCAAATGTTCCCAGTGCCCATTCTCCATGTGTGGTACCTAAAAAAAGCTTGATGACAGGGATGTACCTGGGGCAGGGGGAGGGCAGGGACACTGTTGTCCCAGATACTGGCTGGACATGAACAGATGAGTTAGAAACTGAAAAGAAGCCCCCCATCCTTTGCCTTCCTCCTTAAGAATGTGATTTCTGGGCCGAGCCCGTGGCGCACTCGGGAGAGTGCGGTGCTGGGAGCGCAGCAGCGCTCCCGCCACGGGTTCGGATCCTATATAGGGATGGCCGGTCTGCTCACTGACTGAGCGCAGTGCGGCCAGTCTCAAAAAGGACAAAAAAAAAAAAAAAAAAAAAAAAGAAAAAGAAAAAGAATGTGATTTCTTCAACTGAGGCAAGGCAAAGTTTTTAGCTTTCTAAGATGAGAGAATCAACCTGAGGAGAGGCCTGCATCAAACAGTCTTTTAACTGGTGAAGTTGTATTTCTGTGATGTCATCAATATGCTTTGATGTCATCAATATCCATTTTAAAGGGCCAGACTTCAGTCCATCTACATTAAGGAAAGTATTTAGAAGACAGGAGAGATGTTTATGGAGGAAAGAGGCAAAGAGCCAATTTAATCGAGTCTGAGCATCCAGCATTCCTTCGTAGGTGCTCATTAAATATTGGTTGGATGGATGGAAGGATGGTTATGCAGATTGGCTCATGTTAAGTTTTGGTGTAAGGGCTGTTGCTTTTACTCCTAAAGAAAGCACTTTTTCAGCTGACCCCTCCTTCAGTTGCTTCATGCCAACGCAGGCAGTTATTCAGTTAATAGTGTTTGTAAAAGAGCTAGTTGTGGCTGGTTTTGCAAGTTGTGAGTCTTTCAGTTATTGGTCAAGCTTCACGTACTTGGGCTCGTGCACACACACAGATGAACACACATACACACACCCGGCTTCATTGCACAATCTGGACAGTTCACCAGTGTGGCTGTGAGATCACAGGACTCCGGGCAGTTCTAGGAGCTGTTGTGTCTGGCCTATCAGGCACATTTTGGACATGGAGCACTCTATATACAGCTAGAACTCTCCAGACCTGGTTCCGACTGGCTCATGTAGTTCTGACTAATTAGACACATTGCTTGGCATCCATAAATGCAAATCATAAAGATAGCTGAATGTAAAGCAATTAATTAAACCATTATTCATAAGCATTTGTACCGTTTATCAACTACATACCAGCGTTCATGTCCTATACATAAAAATGGTCCTAATATATGCTGATGGATAAATTGGTACGTAGACTGAGAGGTGACGACACAGAGGACTTGGGGGCATTGTCTATGCTCGGACTGGGTTCTTATACTCTGAATTCAGTTTTGAGAAGTGATTTCCCTTAACCCTGGTTTTGAGACTCACTATCTTTAATTAACTCAAGAGTTTTAAAGAAACCCATGAAACATCCTTAATGAATAAATGTGTACCTTCATTTGATATATTTACATTGACTCTTATTTCAGAATGGATTTAAGAAAGCTCATGTAAATCTACACAAAAGAGCAACATAGAATCAACTTTAAAAATGAATGGATTAGGAGCATTGATTAATGTAAGAATTTAACAGAGAGTAAAACCAGGAGTGAGGTTCACATATATTTACACACATACACACACACCTGTATATGCATTTGTGTATATATATATATATATTTTTTTTTTTTTTTAATTGAAAACTTTTAAATCCTGCAGAATTGCAAATGGTGGGTGTTATTTGGACCCAGGGTATCAGCAGGCAGTGCAAAGAGGATGTCTTGCTCAGTTCCATGATTCAATGTCCATATGAGAAAAAGAAAGTGAATGTGGCCCAGCTCTTAATTCTGAGTCTAGAAAAAGATATGTTTCTTTGTTTGTCATCAGGAGGATAAGAGGGAGAATAATTAGAAAAGCCTTCACCCAGGAGGCCCACCAGACGTCCTAGGTAGTCTGGTTTAAGCCCATTGTCCTGGAAAGATTGCTGGTTGTGCCCTCTCAAAGGTACTGTTTAGACAGTTAAGTCCCATCTCTACTTCTCCTCCATCTATTTGCTGTGCATATCTGTGTACCCAGATTGACATCTTACAGGGCTGGCCGAACTGTTGTAGATCCGAGTGTCATTCAGTCTTAAGGGAGGGGCCTGAGCAGTGCGACCCAGTTAAATGGCTCTTTGTTGGCCCAGCTGGTAATTTGGAGGTGGCCTGGAAAGTGTTTTTCGAAGTGTGGTCAGAACCACTTGCATCAGGATTACCTGGAGAACATATATGTTGATTGAAGACACACATTTCTAAATGTTCTGAATCTGGGTGTGAGCTTGGGGATTCCACATTGTGAACGTGCTCCTCTGGTGATTTTCATGCAGGATAGGTTTGAGAAGTTCTAGTCTGGACAGAAGACATCAAATAAATTTAGTTTTAATGCACTTGAACTGTTTTTAATAAAGGCATGGCATATGTCACTTTTAGAAGAGGGGAGTGGACAAAAGGAAGGGTAGGAGTGACTAACAGTATTACATTAACATTCCAAAAAATAAAAATTAAAAAAAAAAGAAGAAGAGTCACCCATTCAATAGGAAGGAATTTTTGTCTTCTTAAAACTCCCGTAAGATGTATTCTGGGGGCCTGTCATTGGTTGGCATGATTAATGATGTAACAGCTGGGTGTCCAAGCACCTGAGGGAGAACCTAGAACCATTAAAGGCACAACATACAGCGTGAGAGCTGATCAAGCCCCTTGGCTCCATTTGTTTGGTGTCAGCTCTGGGCTCCATTCTGACAAATTGGATCTATCTGAGTACTAGGCCAGTAGCCAAAGACAGCTTGGTACCACTCAGGAATCTGACTTGC